CCACTTATTAAACAAACATTCTCTTTGATATTTAATGGATTTCATCTCTTTGTCAAAGATCAGCTGACCATAGGTCGATGGAAGAGACTGTTTTTGACTTCTATTATGACATGGATCCTTCTATGTCATGGGCACTGAAAGGACTCGTTCCGTATAGAAACATTTTTAGAGAAATTAAAAAGCAAAAAAGTCAGACAGAAATTATGATGTATTTCTGCAAAGCTACACAAAGTGTGCCTGCCTCTCCTGCCTACCCCCCCGCACCTCCTCCACCTCTTCGACCTCTGCCACTGGAGAAAGCACGACCAACTCCTCCCCTACCTCCTCCTCCTCTGCCTACTCAATGTGAAGATGATGAGGATAAAGGCCTTTATGATGATCTGTTTCCACTTAATAAACTGGAAATAATTATCATGCTGTACAATTCTTTCTGTGATCATCTAATAACTGTATAGCAAAAAGTGTCAATTGTTTATGTTATTGGTAAGGCTTCTAGTCAACAGTAGGTTATTACAAGTTAAGTTTTGTGGAGTTAAAAATTTTCGACTATGCATGGGGGTTGGTGCACTTAACCTCAGTGTTATTCAAGGGTTAATTCTGTGTCAACTTGGCTAAGCCATGATTCTCATTGGCAGTTATGTAATATTGTTAATTTGGCAGTTGTATAATAATGTAATCATCCCTATGACATAATCTGATGTAAAAAGGATTACAGTGGGAGGTGACACCCTTACTCAGGTCACAGCCCTGATCTAATGTTAGGGGAGTTTTCCCGGAGTGTGGCTTGCATCACTTTTTATTTTATAGGAGCAAAGACAGAAGAGAAGTGAGCAGAAAGAAGAGCCAGAAGCGGATTATGTCCTTTGAAACAGGTTCCTGAGTTGAGAAACTTGGACACAGGAAGACTGATGACAAAGACCTTCTCTCAGAGCAGACAGAGAGAAAGCTTCCCCTAGAGCTGGTGCCCTGAATTCAGACTTCAAGTCTTCTGAACTGTAGAGGCTACATTTCTGTTTGGTGAAACCAACCACTTGTGTTGTTTCTGTTATAGCAGCACTAGAGAACTACCACACTAATTCACTAGTTCTAGTAGATACTTTGTAGATTTCATAGGATATTTATATAGATGATCATCTCATTTGTGAATACAAACAGCTTTACTTTTTGCTTCACAACCTGGATGGTTTTTGTTTTTCTTGCTTTAGTGCATTGGTTAAAACCTCCTCTACAATGCTGAACAGGAGTGGTGAGAGCAGGTTATTATTGCCTTGTTCCTTATTTTAAGAGGAAAACACTCAGTCTTTCACCTTAAAGAGTGAATTATCGTGTTGGGAAGAATACTGAATATACCATGAAATGCCAGAACAGATAAATCTGTCTTGGTAAAATAGTCCTTCTCAGCAGCAAGGGTGGTGAGACTTCATCTTATATACTTAGAACATGTTATCAGGAGAGACTAGTTCCTGGAGAAGGACATCATGTTTATAAAGACCAGTGAAAAACAGGAAGACCTCAGTGAGATGGACTGATACAGTAGCTGAAACAATGGGCTCAAAGAGCAGTAACTGTGAGGATGGCGCAGGATTGGGGAGTGTTTCATTTTGTTGTAAAGAGGGTCACTATAAATTGGAATCAACTTAAAAGCACCTAATAGTTTCTTCATGAGTGAACTTTGATAGTCTGTGAATTTCAAAGAATTTGGTCTTTTCATATAAATTGTTAAGTTTACTAGAATACAGTTGTTCATAATACCCCCTTATTATTCTTTAAGTGACTAGAATCTATGAGATAATCTTTTTTTTTTTTTTTGTTATTTGTAATTTATATCTTCTCTCTTTTATTACAGAGTAGTCTGGTTAGAGATCTACCCATTTCATTGACCTCAAAGAAAAGCATTCTGTTTTCACTAATTTTCTCTATTGTTTTTCTGTTTTCTTTTCATTTATTTTGGCTCTTCTCTTTATTATTTCTTCTGCATATATTTTAGGTTTAATTCATTCTTTTCCTAGTTTCTAAAGGTGGAAATTTAGGTGATTAATTAAAGGCCATTCTTCTTTCCTGATATGAATATTTAATGTTATACTCTTACTGCTTTAGCTGCATTTCATAAATTTTTACATGTTTGGGCTTTGATTTTCATTCAATTCAGAACACTCTCTTATTTAGAGTTTTGTTACTTGGTTTCCAAATATTTGGAGATTTTTTTTTTTTTTTTAATTGTGATTTGGGTGAAAGTTTACAGAGCAAATTCACTTTCCATACAGCAGCTCACATACACATTGTCTCATGACATTGACTACAACTTACCACAATGCAACAGCTCCCCTCCCACTTTCTCCCGATAGTTACCTCTTCCCTGTGTCCATCCCTCCAAGCACTCCTGCCCCCTAGGCTGTCTCCCTTTGCATACACAGCCCTTCAATTCTCCCATGACTGTTCTCTCCAAGGAGTGTATCTACCTAAGGTAAATGTCCAACTCATATGCCTGTCTTTTGTTTGGCTGGAAGCCACAGGAGTGGGTTCAACTCTAGACCTGAAGGGCAGCTAAGGGCCACAGCCTCAGTGGTTCCATCAGGCTCTATCAGAACAGCAAACCTGGTCCCTTTTTTTTTTAAAATGATTTTGAGTTTTGTTCCACATTGTTCTCACACTCTATCCAGGATCTACACAGATCCCCCTCTGAGTGGTTGACAGTGGTAGCCGGGCACCATCTACTTCTTCTGGTCTCATAGTCATACAGGCACAGGATCACATGGTATACCAGTCGCTTGGACTAATTATTTCCATGAATCTTTGGTTTTCTTCACTCTTCTTTGCTCTGGACGAGAACAGGCCCATCATTGCATTTAGATGGCCGCTTGCAAGCTTTTAAGATCCCAGTCACTACTCGCCAAAGTAGGATGTAGAACAATGTTTTGTGTAGTATATTAAAAATTGAGCTTGATGTCCCCTGTGACTATGGTCCCGAGCCCACAGGTCCAACTACTCACTCCCTCTGGGTAGCTGGCTGTGGCTAAGAAGTGACTACAACCTTGTCCCTTGTCAGCTCTAGTATATACCTGGGAATTCTTACAGGACATAGCAATATACTTGTAGAAACACTACCTGCCAACCGAACACATGGTCTTGGGCACACTCCCCCCTGCATAGACATACCTAATAGTTCAGCCTGTCTACCCATGTATCCACCCATATATCCACGTCTGCCTTCACTGACAATGCAGTCCTGTATGTGCAAAAAGGTTCATCTTTGTTGTCTCTACCTCCCATATACCTCTCTCTGTCTTCCTCTTCCTCAATGCCACTGTGTTGATCACCCACATTTGGTACCAAATATGTGGATATTTTCCAGACATCTTTCTGTTACTGATTTTAATTGAATTCCATTGTGCATAGAGAATATACTCTGTATGACCTGAATCATATTTAATATATTAAGACCTGTATTATGGCTCAGAATATAATTTATCTTGGTAAATAGTCTGAGTGAACTAGAAAGCAATGCATGTTCTGTGTTTAAATATTACATTAAACATGCAATATTATTTATAATGTGCATAATGTATATTACACACAGTACAACAAATATTTAAACATTATAAAAACCATGAAAACCCAAACACACTGCCATCAAGTCAGTTCTGACTCACAGTGACCCCTCCTTGGGTTTCTGAGGCGCTTTCTCTACGAAGTAGATTGCCCAGTCTTCCTTCTGAAGAGTGGCTAGAGGTTTGAACCACCAGCCTTCTGGTTAGCAATAAAATGCCAGTATTATTAATATTTAACAAAGTAATACTCAGAAAATTCAGATAATTGATATGTCCTATTCTCTGCTCATGTTAGTTTACTTACATGTTACTATAATTTCATTCTTTACTCTCAGAAGTATTCTGATGGGCTCATCACATCTATTTAGGCTTATTAGAAGAGAAAGTCGTAATGAAAGTTCATTCATTTACTCCTCATTCAAGAAATATATTTTGAATGTTTCTTTCCCCAGGCATTATTTAAAAGAAAAATAATGCTGAAAAAAATGCAACACTAATGTCACATAATTATTTAAAAATAAAATGTGATAATCTGAGTTTTTACTAAGTGAATCTTCATTTATATCCCTAGACAATCAGTGAAGTGAAATGATTTTCTCTGTGACCCAAAGAAATTAGCAAATTACTTACTTCCTGTATTTCAGAAGAAAAGGCATGGCTTTTAAATGTGGAGTCCATTCTCTTTTATAAAGTATGAAGTAGCAGAGTAACCATAGGGAGATACCTGCTTTTCTATAACTCTTAAAAGAGCCTTCTACAGAGAAGTACTCTGCATTGTTATATGCTTCCAAAATTATACATTTCTTTTCTAATTTTCTACCCTTTTGGTCATATTAATCATGAACTGAACATGGCCATTATGGCCTTATCAGTTTACGGTAAATCGCTTGAGAGTTCTGTACCAATGTTAAAGTCATTCTTTTGAGAAAATTATTTATGAGTGCCCTTGATACAACAAGTATTTCTGCAGAAATTTAGTTATTTTCACTGACTTTGCAAGATCTTCACGAGGTTGATTAATCACTGTTTAACACTACTCTGTAGTTCCACTTTCTGGTGCTTTAAGAAGTTTAAATACAGGCATACCTCAGAGACATAGTGGGCTCCGTTCAGACCACCTGAATAAAGCTAATATTGCAATAAAGCAAGTCACACAAATTTTTGGTTTCTCAGTGCATATAAAAGTTATGTTTACACTACACTATAGTCTATTAAGTGTGCAAAAGTATTATGAAATAGTTTGACATATTTTCAGAATCACCAAAACGTGACACAGAGACATGAAGTGAGCATATGCTGTTGGAAAAATGGCGCCAAGAGACTTGCTCAACTCAGGGTTGTCACAAACCCTCAATTTGTACAACGCAAAATATCTTTGAACTGCAATACAGCAAACTGCAATAAAACAATATGTCTTTTGGTTTTAAAGTAAGAAAGGATTTTTATACTTACTGGTAAATGTTCAAGTAATGAAGTTACACTCTCAGACACATATATTATGCTTCCATCTGTCATGATTGCTAAAAAAAAACCATCAAGAGCCTGAAATTAAACATAATGGTCAGTTAAATGAAAATAAAAAAGCATTTCATGTGACAGAAACAAAAATCTAAGATAAATGACAGGGCATTTAATGTAACTTATTTGGAAATATCTAGAGAACTGTCAACATGCTAGCTTTTCCCCATTACAATACCTTATTATACATCTTTGTACATCCTTAAATGCTTCTGAAAAAAAAAAATTATTCTCTGGCTATCTATTGCACAGTTTCTAAAAGAAACTTAATGTTCTACCTTGATCATATATATATTATGAGTTGGTACAGAACTCTCAAGCTATTTACCGTAAACTGATAAGGCCATAATGGCCATGTTCAGTTCATGATCAATATGACCAAAAGGGTAGAAAATTATGTCTTACGCACATAAAAGTATCACATGATTACCTTTTGGATATGTTAACAAACAAAAGTATGACTTAGTGGAGGGAGCTACATGGGGGACAAAGTGGAAGGGAGAGGTAAGAAATTAAACTGGAAAACTAGTATGGGGGTCAGATAATAAGACATAGGGGCTGTGTTCTACATTCAATCAGAAGTCAACAGAAGGCTTCAGATCAGGGGCTTGTGCTTTGGTAAGAGTAGTCTGAAATTTCAAAATCCTCTAAAATGGATTTATTTAGAGGGGAAAGTGGCTTTTGGAATAGTTGGGGAAGTTAATGAGGATCTAAACAAAATCAGTAGCAGTAGGAAAAGAGAAGGATCTGAACAAAATCAGTAGCAGTAAGAAAAAAAAGAAAGGATTTAGGCAAACATTGAGAAATGTGAAGTTAAAGTCCAGGAAACAAGTCAGAGAAGGGAACTTAAGACTTAATGATAAGCCATACTTGTCCTTTATATGTTACAAAGTATTTAAATTTGAGAATACTAGGCTCGGAGCTCTGGTAGCATAGTGGCTAAGACACTTGCCTGTTAACCAGACAGCTGGCGGTTCAAACCCACCAGCCACTCCTCGGAAGGAAGATTGGGCAATCCTACTTCCGTGGTGATACTGCCTCGGAAACCCAAGGAGGGGTCGCTATGAGTCGGGTTTGACTCGACGGCACGTAACAACAACAACAACAAGGCTCGGAAGTGACAAGTGAAAAAATGAAATCTGAAAAAGAAAGAAGTAGGCCAACAACAAATCCTTGGGGGAATTAACTATACAAGGGAAGTAGGAGGGGGAAAAATGCCAGAGAAAATAGAATACACTGTTGTCAAAGAAGTCAATGCAAGAGAGAATAACAAAGTGAGTGGGGAGGAAGAGAAATAGTTCAGTATAAAATGAGACAAAATACATAAGGAATGAGAAAATAAAAATGAATTTAGGTTACTTCCAAAGAGTCATTTCAAGAGAGAAGCATATTAGACTGCAATGAGTTTAGAGTGGGTGATCAGAAGGCTATTATAAACCACTCTGTCATGAACTTCATAAAGGAAGAAAAGACAATTTTAAGAGGATGAAATATCAAAGGAAGGCTTTTTTCTTTTTTTTTTAAATAAGAGTAACTGAAGTATATTTTCGCAGGCGAGGGAAAGGAAGATTCAGTGGAGAAGTTTTAGATATAAAACAGAATTTATACTATATGAAGGGTTAGTCTTATCTCATCAAAATAGTTATCACATTAAATGTTAATTTCTTGCTTAATTATCTCTCAAAGGATAGCATCCTCTATGAGGGACTCTGAAAGGGTAGCATACTCTACGAGGGGCTCAAACTCATTTACTGCCATTGAGGTGGTCCCGACTCATAGCAACTTCTCCTTGGGTTTCCAAGGAGATTGGAACTAGATTGCCCAGTCTTCCTTCCAAAGAGTGGCTGGCGGGTTTGAACCATGAGCCTTCTGGTTAGCAGTCAAATGCCTTGGGCACTATGCATATCTTATCCATCATCATCACTGTATCTACAGGATCTAGCATATGTGTAGGCACACAGATAGTGGAAAAATGTACTCCTCCCTACCTTCCTCCACTCAAGTCAGGGGAAAGATTTACATCCTAGAAAAATTTATTTGGCGTAGACGCCTACCTTCTAAGACAGCTCAGACAAACCCATTTTTGGCTAATGTGGGGAAAAAGATGCTGTTACTGTTAGGTAACAGTCAAGTCGAGTCAATTCGGACTCATAGCAACCCTAACTTTTGTACAGCAAAGGAAGAAACACTGCCTTGCCTAGTCCTGCACCATCCTTACAATCCTTGTTGTGCATGAGCCCATCATCACAGCCACTGTGGAGAGTCTTCCTCTTTTTCTCTGACCCTCCACTCTACCTTCTGATAACATGACTAAAGTAGATGAGATGAAGTCAGCCATTCCTGCTTCCAAGAAGCATTCCAGCCGCACTTCTTCCAGGACAGATTTCTTTGTTCTTCTGGCTATATTTTCAGCCAGAAGGCATCAACTCTTCTTCGGTCTTCCTCATTCCCAGTCTAGCTTCCACATGCATATGAGGTGGGAGCTCTGGTAGCATAGTGCCTAAGGCACTTGATTGTTAAGGCACTTGAGAGCTAACCAGAAGGCCAGCTGTTCAAACCCACCAGCCACTCCTCAGAAGGAAAGCTGGGCAATCTACTTCCATAGTGATATCGTCTCGGAAACCCAAGAAGTCACTATGAGTTGGGTCTGATACAATGGCATATAACAACAACAAAAATATCATGGCTTGAGTTAGGTGCATCTTAGCTTCAAAGTGACATCTTTACTCTTCAACACTGATCTTCATCAGTAAGCGCTCCAAGTCATCTTTACTTTCAGCAAGCAAAGTTGTGTCATCTGCGTAACTCAGGGTGTTAATGAGTCTTCCTCCAATCCTGATGCCATGTTCTTCTTCATATAGTCCAGCTTCTCGATTATTTGCTAACAAATAAATATCTGCAGTATCCCCTTGTTCTGTTCAAATGACTGCCTCTTGGTCTATGTACAGGTTCTACATGAACACAATTAAGTGCTCTGGAATTCCTCTATTTCTCAATGTTATCCACAATTTGTTACGATCCACACTGTCAAATGCCTTTGCATAGTCAATAAAACACAGGCAAACATTTTTCTGTTATTCTTTGCTTTCAGCCAAGATCCATCTGACATCAGCAATGAAATCCCTTGTTCCATGTCCTCTTCTGAAACCAGCTTATACTTCTGGAAGTTCCCTGATAATATACTGCTGCAACCCACTTCTGAATTATCTTCAGCAAAATTTTACTTGTGTGTGATATTAATGATATTGTTCAATAATTTCAACATTCTGTTGGGTTGTTTCTTTGGAATGGGCACAAATGTATGCATCTCTTTTAAGTCGGCTGGCCATGTAGAGAATTTTTTTAAGTTAAGCAAACAAAAATTTAATTTTAAAATTCCCTAGTACAAGTATGTCAGTATTATTATTTGACAAGGAATAAGATCAAAATGATGTTAAGAAGAAGAATGTGCTTTATTCACGCAAAGCCAGACTTTGTCATCTTTGGAAGCAAATTAGTATTTACTATGCCAATCTACAATTGCTTTTAGGATATTTGTAAGGAATAGGGATGCGGCTCCCTTCTGTGGAGAGAACAAAATGAAATTAGAACTTATGACTTCATCCCACTGCCAGGACCAGAGCCTGACTTTTCCTCTTTCAAAGCAGGCAAAGACTAAACAGAAAAAAATCCTCCACTAGCATCGTGCACAAGAAAGTCCAGACTTGAGTGGTGGTATGTAGCTTCCCAAGAAAACAAGTTGTTGTTGTTAGGTGCCTTCCAGTCGTGTCTGACTCATAACGACCCTATACAAAGCAGAACAAAACACCACCCAGTCCTGCGCCAGCTTCATGATCCCTGCTATACTTGAGCCCATCATCACAGCCACTGTGTGTCAATCCATCTTGTTGAGGGTCTTCCCCTCTTTCGTTGACCCTCCACCTTAGCAAGCATGACATCCTTCTCCAAGGAGTGGTCCCTTCGGACAACATGACCAAAGTATGTAAGATGAACTCTGGCCATTCTCGCTTCCAAGGAGCTTTTCAGCTGCACTTCCTCCAGGACAGATCTGTTAGTTCTTTTAGCAGTCCATGGTACTTTCAGCATTCTTCACCAGCACCACATTTCAAAAGCATCAATTCTTCT